AAACCTGAAGCAGGCAGTTGGTGCATGTGTACAGTAACCTGAGGGGAGTGAGGTGAGTGCTTCTGAGGAGAACATGAGCAGTGAAGATTCACCTTGGAGCTAGAACAGAGACATGCACATGATTATACAGGGGCAGGGGCTCAAGTTTTTTCCAGTCGTTTATACAATATGGAAATTAATGTGAAATTAAAACACAAAGTATTAATAGAAAGGTAATGACTGTCCTGTGTAGGTGACAGTGATATCCAATAAGCTAGGCACTCACGAGGCTGGCTGTGGCAAGTGTAAGTGAAAGCAACACGCACTGGCAGGAAGAACAGCAAACGCCGATGAAGGAAAAGGGTCTTTGCAGTGATGGGCGTTAACAGAGAGGGCGATGGCCAGAGGACACAAATGGGACGGGGAGGCAGCACGTTGGGGGGGGTGGGGGGAGACGCGACACGGCTCGGGCCCGCCAGTGCCCCAACGGGGTCCTAGTTTGTTATTATTATTATTTTTCCTCCCCTTTGAACTGGAAAATGGCCCACTTCCCACTGGCGAAAACTCATGAAATTTGGCAGGACGACCGGGCCTGGTGAAAAATTTGATATTCTGAAGTCGCCCAAACAATAAAATGCAAAATGGCTCCATAGCGCCCCCTAAGGTGAAAATTCACACTATTCACTGTCACGCCTGTACGCTTTGTCAAAATGACACAAAAATTGACACACACATGTATCTCAATAAGATCTACAAAAAAGTCAGTGCGGGCGTATCTGTCAAATGTACGGTTAAAGGGTTATTTCGCATTTTTTGCCGATCCGCACACATTGGAATTTCGCTAACTCCTCCGAAGGCTTTCGTTCCACCGGCACCACATTTGCTCAGGCCAATCTACACCCCATGGCCATTAAAAGTTATTCAAATCATGACGCTGCACCCCACGGTTTAGGTTCTAGGGGGCGCCAAAGATAACCCTAAGATCCACATATTTAAAAGTCTTATAACTTTTTATTTTTGCCCTCACTGGCCTCCAAGTTTTCTAGGATGATGCAATGTCCAGCCATCAACACATTTGTGAAGGAATTTTTACTCCCCAAAAGAGCGCCCCCCCATGGCAGGAGAAAAAAGTCCATTTTTTCTTGTCCCCTAAGGTGAAAATACACATTGTTGAGTGTAACACCTGTACGCTTTGTCAAAATGACACAAAAATTGACACACACATGTATCTCAATAAGATCTACGAAAAAGTCAATGCGCGCGTATCTGTCAAATGTACGGTTAAAGGGTTATTCCGCATTTTTTGCCGATCCGCACACATTGGAATTTCGCTAACTCCTCCGAAGGCTTTCGTTCCACCGGCACCACATTTGCTCAGGCCAATCTACACCCCATGGCCATTAAAAGTTATTCAAATCATGACGCTGCACCCCACGGTTTAGGTTCTAGGGGGAGCCAAAGATAACCGTAAAATCCACATATTTAAAAGTCTTATAACTTTTTATTTTTGTCCCCACTGGCCTCCAAGTTTTCTAGGATGATGCAATGTCCAGCCATCAACACATTTGTGAAGGAATTTTTACTCGGCAAAAGAGCGCCCCCCATGGCAGGAGAAAAAAGTCAATTTTTTCTTGTCCACTAAGGTGAAAATACACATTGTTGAGTGCTACGCCTGTATGTTTTGTCGTAGTGACACAAAATTTTACATACACGTGTATTTCAATAAGATCTTCGAAAAAGTCAATGGCCACGTATCTGTCAAATGTACGGTTAAAGGGTTATTTCGCATTTTTTGCAGATTCGCACACATTGGAATGTGGCTAATTCCTCCGAAGGCTTTCGTTCCACCGGCACCACATTTGCTCAGGCCAATCTACACCCCATGGCCATTAAAAGTTATTCAAATCATGACGCTGCACCCCACGGTTTAGGTTCTAGGGGGCGCCAAAGATAACCCTAAAATCCACATATTTAAAAGTCTTATAACTTTTTATTTTTGTCCTCACTGGCCTCCAAGTTTTCTAGGATGATGCAATGTCCAGCCATCAACACATTTGTGAAAGAATTTTTTCTCCCCAAAAGAGCGCCCCCCATGGCAGGAGAAAAAGTTAAGTTTTTCCTGCCCTTCGCCCAATGGCTCAAACGCATCGCTCTCTCGGCAAAACCGAAAGGAGGAGCAACTTGCCATTTGGATATATGGAAGCTGTGTTTGTGCCCTCACTCATGGTCCAGACTTTTTTCAAAAAGGACATGGAGTTTGTCTGCAGCGAGCATTTTGGTAGAAACTGCGCCTCCCATTCATTATAATGGTAAATGACCACAGACAAGTGCGCACACCATCTTTGGACCTTGAGTGTGACGCGATCGGGAGGGGGAGGCGGTCGCGCTGGGGGCGGCGCGACACGGCTCGGGCCCGCCAGTGCCCCACCGGGGCCCTAGTTTGTTATTATTATTAGGGCCCGAGCGTAGCTGCTAAGCAGCTGCGAGAGCCCTCTTGTTCCTGTAGTTTCCTTCTTTTGTTATTATTATTATTATTATTATTTTTCCTCCCCTTTGAACTGGAAAATGGCCCACTTCCCACTGGCAAAAACTCATGAAATTTGGCAGGACGACCGGGCCTGGTGAAAAATTTGATATTCCGAAGTCGCCCAAACAAGAAAATGCAAAATGGCTCCATAGCGCCCCCTAAGGTGAAAATTCACACTATTCACTGTCACGCCTGTACGCTTTGTCAAAATGACACAAAAATTGACACACACATGTATCTCAATAAGATCTACAAAAAAGTCAGTGCGGGCGTATCTGTCAAATGTACGGTTAAAGGGTTATTTTGCATTTTTTGCCGATCCGCACACATTGGAATTTCGCTAACTCCTCCGAAGGCTTTCGTTCCACCGGCACCACATTTGCTCAGGCCAATCTACACCCCATGGCCATTAAAAGTTATTCAAATCATGACGCTGCACCCCACGGTTTAGGTTCTAGGGGGCGCCAAAGATAACCGTAAAATCCACATATTTAAAAGTCTTATAACTTTTTATTTTTGTCCCCACTGGCCTCCAAGTTTTCTAGGATGATGCAATGTCCAGCCATCAACACATTTGTGAAGGAATTTTTACTCCCCAAAAGAGCGCCCCCCCATGGCAGGAGAAAAAAGTCCATTTTTTCTTGTCCACTAAGGTGAAAATACACATTGTTGAGTGCTACGCCTGTATGTTTTGTCGTATTGACACAAAATTTTACATACACGTGTATTTCAATAAGATCTTCGAAAAAGTCAATGGCCACGTATCTGTAAAATGTACGGTTAAAGGGTTATTTTGCATTTTTTGCAGATTCGCACACATTGGAATTTCGCTAACTCCTCCGAAGGCTTTTGTTCCACCGGCACCACATTTGCTCAGGCCAATCTACACCCCATGGCCATTAAAAGTTATTCAAATCATGACGCTGCACCCCACGGTTTAGGTTCTAGGGGGCGCCAAAGATAACCCTAAAATCCACATATTTAAAAGTCTTATAACTTTTTATTTTTGTCCTCACTGGCCTCCATGTTTTCTAGGATGATGCAATGTCCAGCCATCAACACATTTGTGAAGGAATTTTTACTCGCCAAAAGAGCGCCCCCCCATGGCAGGAGAATAAAGTCAAGTTTTTCCTGTTCATCATTCAATGGCTCAAACGCACTGCTCTCTCGGCAAAAGCGAAAGGAGGAGCAACTTGCCATTTGGATATATCTTAGCTGTGTTTGTGCCCTCACTCATGGTCCAGACTTTTTTCAAATAGGACATGGAGTTTTTCTGCAGCGAGCGCTTTGGTAGAAACTGCGCCTCCCGTTCATTATAATGGTAAATGACCACAAACAAGTGCGCACACCATCTTTGGACCTTGAGTGTGACGCGATCGGGTGGGGGAGGCGGTCGCGCTGGGGGCGGCGTGACACGGCTCGGGCCCGCCAGTGCCCCAACGGGGCCCTAGTTATTATTTTTCCTCCCCTTTGAACTGGAAAATGGCCCACTTCCCACTGGCGAAAACTCATGAAATTTGGCAGGACGACCGGGCCTGGTGAAAAATTTGATATTCCGAAGTCGCCCAAACAAGAAAATGCAAAATGGCTCCATAGCGCCCCCTAAGGTGGAAATTCACACTATTGACTGTCACGCCTGTACGCTTTGTCAAAATGACACAAAATTTGACACACATATGTATCTCAATAAGATCTACAAAAAAGTCAGTGCGGGCGTATCTGTCAAATGTACGGTTAAAGGGCTATTTCGCATTTTTTGGCGATCCGTACACATTGGAATTTCGCTAACTCCTTCGAAGGCTTTTGTTCCACCGGCACCACATTTGCTCAGGCCAATCTACACCCCATGGCCATTAAAAGTTATTCAAATCATGACGCTGCACCCCACGGTTTAGGTTCTAGGGGGCGCCAAAGATAACCCTAAAATCCACATATTTAAAAGTCTTATAACTTTTTATTTTTGTCCTCACTGGCCTCCAAGTTTTCTAGGATGATGCAATGTCCAGCCATCAACACATTTGTGAAGGAATTTTTACTCCCCAAAAGAGCGCCCCCCCATGGCAGGAGAAAAAAGTCCATTTTTTCTTGTCCCCTAAGGTGAAAATACACATTGTTGAGTGTCACGCCTCTACACTTTGTCAAAATGACACAAAATTTGGCACACAGGTGTGTCTCAATAAGATCTACGAAAAAGTCAATGCGGGCGTATCTGTCAAATGTACGGTTAAAGGGCTATTTCGCATTTTTTGGCGATCCATACACATTGGAATGTGGCTAACTCCTCCAAAGGCTTTTGTTCCACCGGCACCACATTTGCTCAGGCCAATCTGCACCCCATGGCCATTAAAAGTTATTCAAATCATGACGCTGCACCCCACGGTTTAGGTTCTAGGGGGCGCCAAAGATAACCCTAAAATCCACATATTTAAAAGTCTTATAACTTTTTATTTTTGTCCCCACTGGCCTCCAAGTTTTCTAGGATGATGCAATGTCCAGCCATCAACACATTTGTGAAGGAATTTTTACTCCCCAAAAGAGCGCCCCCCCATGGCAGGAGAAGAAAGTCCATTTTTTCTTGTCCCATAAGGTGAAAAAACACATTGTTGACTGTCATACCTGTACGCTTTGTCATATTAACACAAAATTTGACAATCACATGTATCTCAATAAGATCTACGAAAAAGTCAATGCGCGCGTATCTGTAAAATGTACGGTTAAAGGGCTATTTTGCATTTTTTGCCGATTCGCACACATTGGAATGTGGCTAACTCCTCCTAAGGCTTTCGTCCCACTGACACCAAATTTGCTCAGGCCAATCTACACCCCATGGCCATTCAAAGTTTTAAAAATCATGACGCTGCACCCCACGGTTTACGTTCTAGGGGGCGCCAAAGATGACCCAAATATCCACATTCTTAAAAGAATCCACATCCCCCCCATCCCCCATCCCCCATGGCAGGAGAAACAGTCAAGTTTTTCCTGCCCATCACTCAATGGCTCAATCGCATCACTCTCCCGGCAACACCGTAACGAGGAGCAACTTGCCGTTTGGATATATCCTAGCTGTGTTTGTGCCCTCACTCATGGTCCAGACTTTTTTCAAATAGGACATATAGTTTGTCTGCAGCGAGTGTTTTAGTAGAAACTGCGCCTCCCATTCATTATAATGGGAAATGACCACAGACAAGTGCGCACACCATCTTTGGACCTTGAGTGTGACGCGATCGGGAGGGGGAGGCGGTCGCGCTGGGGGCGGCGCAACGCGGCTCGGGCCCGACAGTGCCCCACCGGGGTCCTAGTTAGGGCCCGAGCGTAGCTGCTAAGCAGCTGCGAGAGCCCTCTTGTTCCTGTAGTTTCCTTCTTTAGGGCCCGAGCGTAGCTGCTAAGCAGCTGCGAGAGCCCTCTTGTTCCTGTAGTTTCCTTCTTTTGTTATTAGGGCCCGAGCGTAGCTGCTAAGCAGCTGCGAGAGCCCTCTTGTTCCTGATGGATTCTTCTTTTGTTATTATTATTATTTTTCCTCCGCTTTAAACTGGAAAATGGCCCACTTCCCACTGGCGAAAACTCATGAAATTTGGCAGGACGACCGGGCCTGGTGAAAAATTCGATATTCTGAAGTCGCCCAAACAATAAAATGCAAAATGGCTCCATAGCGCCCCCTAAGGTGAAAATTCACACTATTGACTGTCACGCCTGTACGCTTTGTCATATTGACACAAAAATTTGACACACACATGTATCTCAATAAGATCTACAAAAAAGTCAATGCGGGCGTATCTGTAAAATGTACGGTTAAAGGGTTATTTCGCATTTTTTGCCGATCCGCACACATTGGAATTTCGCTAACTCCTCCGAAGGCTTTCGTTCCACCGGCACCACATTTGCTCAGGCCAATCTACACCCCATGGCCATTCAAAGTTGTACAAATCATGACGCTGCACCCCACGGTTTACGTTCTAGGGGGCGCCAAAGATAACCCAAAAATCCACAGTCTTAAAAGTCTTATAACTTTTTATTTTTGTCCACACTGGCCTCCAAGTTCTCTAGGATGATGCAATGTCCAGCAATTAACACATTTGTGAAGGAATTTTTACTCGCCAAAAGAGCGCCCCCCCATGGCAGGAGAAAAAAGTCCATTTTTTCTTGTCCCCTAAGACGAAAATACACATTGTTGAGTGTCATGCCTGTACGCTTTGTCATATTGAAAAAAAAATTTGACACACACGTGTATCTCAATAAGATCTACGAAAAAGTCAATGCGCGCGTATCTGTAAAATGTACGGCTAAAGGGCTATTTTGCATTTTTTGCCGATTCGCACACATTGGAATGTGGCTAACTCCTCCTAAGGCTTTCGTCCCACTGACACCAAATTTGCTCAGGCCAATCTACACCCCATGGCCATTAAAAGTTGTAAAAATCATGCCGCTGCACCCCATGGTTTACGTTCTAGGGGGCGCCAAAGATGACCCAAATATCCACATTCTTAAAAGTCGTTTTGGCCACTGCAGGAGTACAGAGTACTGCAGGATACACACACACAGACACACACACACACAGACACACAAACACACGCACACACACACACACACACACACACACACACACACACACACACACACACACACTCAGAGTCTGTTTTTTAGCACCTGCAAAAACATGCTATTTACATATTTGACAAGAATGCAGAGGCTTCCTTTTGCCCCTGAAAAAAATCTAATTTCTAACACAACTTGACTGCTCATTTCTCCAAAAGACAACCATGAAGCTCCATCCAAACCTGAAGCAGGCAGTTGGTGCATGTGTACAGTAACCTGAGGGGAGTGAGGTGAGTGCTTCTGAGGAGAACATGAGCAGTGAAGATTCACCTTGGAGCGAGGACAGGGACGTGCACATGATTATACAGGGGCAGGGGCTCAAGTTTTTTCCAGTCGTTTATACGATATGGAAATTAATGTGAAATTAAAAAACAAAGTATTAATAGAAAGGTAATGACTGTCCTGTGTAGGTGACAGTGATATCCAATAGGCTAGGCACTCACGAGGCTGGCTGTGGCAAGTGTAAGTGAAAGCAACACGCACTGGCAGGAAGAACAGCAAACGCCGATGAAGGAGAAGGGTCTTTGCAGTGATGGGCGTTACCAGAGAGGACGATGGCCAGAGGACGCGAATGGGACGGGGAGGCAGCGCGTTGGGGGGGGGGCGCGACACAGCTCGGGCCCGCCAGTGCCCCAACGGGGCCCTAGTTATTATTTTTCCTCCCCTTTGAACTGGAAAATGGCCCACTTCCCACTGGCGAAAACTCATGAAATTTGGCAGGACGACCGGGCCTGGTGAAAAATTTGATATTCCGAAGTCGCCCAAACAAGAAAATGCAAAATGGCTCCATAGCGCCCCCTAAGGTGAAAATTCACACTATTGACTGTCACGCCTGTACGCTTTGTCAAAATGACACAAAAATTGACACACACATGTATCTCAATAAGATCTACAAAAAAGTCAGTGCGGGCGTATCTGTCAAATGTACGGTTAAAGGGTTATTGCGCATTTTTTGCCGATCCGCACACATTGGAATTTCGCTAACTCCTCCGAAGGCTTTCGTTCCACCGGCACCACATTTGCTCAGGCCAATCTACACCCCATGGCCATTAAAAGTTATTCAAATCATGACACTGCACCCCACGGTTTAGGTTCTAGGGGGCGCCAAAGATAACCCTAAAATCCACATATTTAAAAGTCTTATAACTTTTTATTTTTGCCCTCACTGGCCTCCAAGTTTTCTAGGATGATGCAATGTCCAGCCATCAACACATTTGTGAAGGAATTTTTACTCCCCAAAAGAGCGCCCCCCCATGGCAGGAGAAAAAAGTCCATTTTTTCTTGTCCCATAAGGTGAAAATTCACACTATTGACTGTCACGCCTGTACGCTTTGTCAAAATTACACAAAAATTGACACACACATGTATCTCAATAAGATCTACAAAAGATCTACAAAAAAGTCAGTGCTGGCGTATCTGTCAAATGTACGGTTAAAGGGTTATTGCGCATTTTTTGCCGATCCGCACACATTGGAATTTCGCTAACTCCTCCGAAGGCTTTCGTTCCACTGGCACCACATTTGCTCAGGCCAATCTACACCCCATGGCCATTAAAAGTTATTCAAATCATGACGCTGCACCCCACGGTTTAGGTTCTAGGGGGCGCCAAAGATAACCCTAAAATCCACATATTTAAAAGTCTTATAACTTTTTATTTTTGTCCTCTCTGGCCTCCAAGTTTTCTAGGATGATGCAATGTCCAGCCATCAACACATTTGTGAAGGAATTTTTACTCCCCAAAAGAGCGCCCCCCCATGGCAGGAGAAAAAAGTCCATTTTTTCTTGTCCCATAAGGTGAAAATACACATTGTTGACTGTCATACCTGTATGCTTTGTCATATTGACACAAAATTTGACACACACATGTATCCCAATAAGATCTACGAAAAAGTCAATGCGCGCGTATCTGTAAAACGTACGGTTAAAGGGCTATTTTGCATTTTTTGCCGATTAGCACACATTGGAATGTGGCTAACTCCTCCTAAGGCTTTCGTCCCACTGACACCAAATTTGCTCAGGCCAATCTACACCCCATGGCCATTCAAAGTTTTAAAAATCATGACGCTGCACCCCACGGTTTACGTTCTAGGGGGCGCCAAAGATGACCCAAATATCCACATTCTTAAAAGAATCCACACCCCCCCCCCCCATCCCCCATCCCCCATGGCAGGAGAAACAGTCAAGTTTTTCCTGCCCATCACTCAATGGCTCAATCGCATCGCTCTCCCGGCAACACCGTAACTAGGAGCAACTTGCCGTTTGGATATATCCTAGCTGTGTTTGTGCCCTCACTCATGGTCCAGACTTTTTTCAAATAGGACATGTAGTTTGTCTGCAGCGAGTGTTTTGGTAGAAACTGCGCCTCCCATTCATTATAATGGGAAATGACCACAGACAAGTGCGCACACCATCTTTGGACCTTGAGTGTGACGCGATCGGGAGGGGGAGGCGGTCGCACTGGGGGCGGCGCAACGCGGCTCGGGCCCGCCAGTGCCCCAACGGGGCCCTAGTTTGTTATTATTATTTTTCCTCCCCTTTGAACTGGAAAATGGCCCACTTCCCACTGGCGAAAACTCATGAAATTTGGCAGGACGACCGGGCCTGGTGAAAAATTTGATATTCCGAAGTCGCCCAAACAAGAAAATGCAAAATGGCTCCATAGCGCCCCCTAAGGTGAAAATTCACACTATTCACTGTCACGCCTGTACGCTTTGTCAAAATGACACAAAAATTGACACACACATGTATCTCAATAAGATCTACAAAAAAGTCAGTGCGGGGTATCTGTCAAATGTACGGTTAAAGGGTTATTTCGCATTTTTTGCCGATCCGCACACATTGGAATTTCGCTAACTCCTCCGAAGGCTTTCGTTCCACCGGCACCACATTTGCTCAGGCCAATCTACACCCCATGGCCATTAAAAGTTATTCAAATCATGACGCTGCACCCCACGGTTTAGGTTCTAGGGGGCGCCAAAGATAACCCTAAGATCCACATATTTAAAAGTCTTATAACTTTTTATTTTTGCCCTCACTGGCCTCCAAGTTTTCTAGGATGATGCAATGTCCAGCCATCAACACATTTGTGAAGGAATTTTTACTCCCCAAAAGAGCGCCCCCCATGGCAGGAGAAAAAAGTCCATTTTTTCTTGTCCCCTAAGGTGAAAATACACATTGTTGAGTGTAACACCTGTACGCTTTGGCAAAATGACACAAAAATTGACACACACATGTATCTCAATAAGATCTACGAAAAAGTCAATGCGCGCGTATCTGTCAAATGTACGGTTAAAGGGTTATTCCGCATTTTTTGCCGATCCGCACACATTGGAATTTCGCTAACTCCTCCGAAGGCTTTCGTTCCACCGGCACCACATTTGCTCAGGCCAATCTACACCCCATGGCCATTAAAAGTTATTCAAATCATGATGCTGCACCCCATGGTTTAGGTTCTAGGGGGCGCCAAAAATAACCCAAAAATCCACATTCTTAAATGTTTTATAACTTTTTATTTTTGTCCTCACTGGCCTCCAAGTTTTCTAGGATGATGCAATGTCCAGCCATCAACACATTTGTGAAGGAATTTTTACTCCCCAAAAGAGCGCCCCCCCATGGTAGGAGAAAAAAGTCAATTTTTTCTTGTCCCCTTACATAAAAATACACATTGTTGAGTGTCACGCCTGAACGCTTTGTCAAAATGACACAAAAATTGACAATCATGTGTATCTCAATTAGATCTACGAAAAAGTCAAAGAGCGCGTATCTGTATAATGTACGGTTAAAGGGCTATTTTGCATTTTTTGCCGATTCGCACACATTGGAATGTGGCTATCTCCTCCTAAGGCTTTCGTCCCACCGATACCAAATTTGCTCAGGGCAATCTACACCCCATGCCCATTCAAAGTTGTAAAAATCATGACGCTGCACCCCACGGTTTACGTTCTAGGGGGCGCCAAAGATGACCCAAAAATCCACATTCTTAAAAGTCATTTTGGCCACTGCAGGAGTACAGAGTACTGCAGTTCTAGGGGGCGCCAAAGATGACCCAAAAATCCACATTCTTAAAAGTCTTTTTGGCCACTGCAGGAGTACAGAGTACTGCAGGATACACACACATATACACACACGCCAACACACACACACACACACACACACACACACACACACAGACACACACACACACACACACACTCAGAGTCTGTTTTTTAGCACCTGCAAAAACATGCTGTTTACATATTTGACAAGAATGCAGAGGCTTCCTTTTGCCCCTGAAAAAAAATCAAATTTCAAACACAACTTGACTGTTCATTTCTCCAAAAGACAACCATGAAGCTCCATTTCAAACCTGAAGCAGATAGTTGGTGCATGTGTACAGTAACCTGAGGGGAGTGAGGTGACTATTTCTGAGGAGAACATGAGCAGTGAAGATTCACCTTGGAGCTAGAACAGGGACGTGCACATGATTATACAGGGGCAGGGGCTCAAGTTTTTTCCAGTCATTTATACAATATGGAAATTAATGTGAAATTAAACCACAAATATGTGTGATGAACTGTTTTTAAAACTTAAACTTCAAATAAAAATTGTAAACTTCAAAACATATGCAAATTTTTAACAAAGAACATAGTAATTTACCTCTATTTACATCAAAATGCAGGCAATGGCCCAGGCGTTCTTTGTAAAATTATTTACAAAACACTGTATAGTCTCACAAATGTCACTTTTTATTTATGCCACTACAAAAAAACATGATGTAAATGATGCATGATGTAAAACATGATGTAAAAAACTTGTGTAGATCCTCCTCTATGTCAGTCCATGTGTAATTTTTCCATAATTCTTTGTTTTTTGCAGCATTTTTGTTAGTGTAACTGCAGATTGTGCTGACAGTGTCTATGGCACAAAAAAAAAAAAAAAATTAAAATGCCTCAACATGAACCCCTGGTGGTCTCTGAGGGTGAAACCTGCTAACTGCTGCAGCTCTGTCAGCTTCAGTCTCCCATGCAGAGCTCTGAGCGCATGTGTGGCTCTGCACCCTTAGCAGCGTTGCTAACTCCTCAGTAAGGAAAGCCTGCTTCATGTCAGAGTATCTAAACTCCAGAAGAAGTCGATAAAAGTCCCTTTCTTTCTAAAAAAAAAGTCGTTAGGGGGTCTGAAAAGTCATTGAATCTAACAACAAAGTCGCTAGGTTTGCAACTACGTGTCCCAGACTGCATCCCTGCTGAGAGTCCCTCCCTCCCTTCTCATGTTGCAGGAAGAACGTAAGCGCCCTCCCCTTGTCAATCAGTCACCATATAATTTTGGATTGGTTGTTGTGGTGAAGTTTTCCACCAATAGGAGAGATGTTGTGGTGTGTTTTTTTTTTCTTTTGGCAAGCCTTTTCCGCCTGTAAGACCTGTCGCTAATGTCTGCATGCTATGTTTTCCTGTCTCATACAGCGCGATTGAGCGCCGAACGTGATCAAAATAAGCAGAAAAAAAGTATCGCGGACATAATTTATCATAACTCTGGTTTTATTTGGCCTATCAACACAATTTAAAAACTGGTATATAGGTTGAGGTCCTCACTTTTGAGATAAGTTGAAACGGAGAGTCAACGAGGCTCCGTCTTGCAGCTACATCCGGTTAAATATGTCATGTGACTTGATCGCACACACAGACACACACACACGCACACACACACACACACACACACACACACACACACACACACTCAGAGTCTGGTTTTTAGCACCTGCAAAAACATGCTATTTACATATTTGACAAGAATGCAGAGGCTCCTTTTGCCCCTGAAAAAAATCAAATTTCAAACACAACTTGACTGGTCATTTCTCCAAAAGACAACCATGAAGCTCCATCCAAACCTGAAGCAGGCAGTTGGTGCATGTGTACAGTAACCTGAGGGGAGTGAGGTGAGTGCTTCTGAGGAGAACATGAGCAGTGAAGATTCACCTTGGAGCTAGAACAGAGACATGCACATGATTATACAGGGGCAGGGGCTCAAGTTTTTTCCAGTCGTTTATACAATATGGAAATTAATGTGAAATTAAAACACAAAGTATTAATAGAAAGGTAATGACTGTCCTGTGTAGGCGACAGTGATATCGAATAGGCTAGGCACTCACGAGGCTGGCTGTGGCAAGTGTAAGTGAAAGCAACACGCACTGGCAGGAAGAACAGCAAACGCCGATGAAGGAAAAGGGTCTTTGCAGTGATGGGCGTTACCAGAGAGGGCGATGGCCAGAGGACACAAATGGGACGGGGAGGCAGCGCGTTGGGGGGGGGGGGGGGGGCGACACGGCGCGGGCCCGCCAGTGCCCCAACGGGGTCCTAGTTCTTTCTTTCTTCTTTTTCCTCCCCTTTGAACTGGAAAATGGCCCACTTCCCACTGGCGAAAACTCATGAAATTTGGCAGGACGACCGGGCCTGGTGAAAAATTCGATATTCTGAAGTTGCCCAAACAATAAAATGCAAAATGGCTCCATAGCGCCCCCTAAGGTGGAAATTCACACTATTGACTGTCACGCCTGTACGCTTTGTCATATTGACACAAAAATTGACACACATATGTATCTCAATAAGATCTACAAAAAAGTCAGTGCGGCCGTATCTGTCAAATGTACGGTTAAAGGGTTATTTCGCATTTTTTTCCGATCCGCACACATTGGAATTTCGCTAACTCCTCCGAAGGCTTTCGTTCCACCGGCACCACATTTGCTCAGGCCAATCTACACCCCGTGGCCATTAAAAGTTATCAAAATCATGACGCTGCACCCCAAGGTTTAGGTTCTAGGGGGCGCCAAAGATAACACTAAAATCCACATATTTAAAAGTCTTATAACTTTTTATTTTTGTCCTCACTGGCCTCCAAGTTTTCTAGGATGATGCAATGACCAGCCATCAACACATTTGTGAAGGAATTCTTACTCCCCAAAAGAGCGCCCCCCCATGGCAGGAGAAAAAAGTCCATTTTTTCTTGTCCCCTAAGGTGAAAATACACATTGTTGAGTGTCACGCCTATACGCTTTGTCAAAATGACACAAAAATTGACACACACATGTAACTCAATAAGATCTACGAAAAAGTCAATGCGCGCGTATCTGTCAAATGTACGGTTAAAGGGTTATTCTGCATTTTTTGCCGATCCGCACACATTGGAATTTCGCTAACTCCTCCGAAGGCTTTCGTTCCACCGGCACCACATTTGCTCAGGCCAATCTACACCCCATGGCCATTAAAAGTTATTCAAATCATGACGCTGCACCCCACGGTTTAGGTTCTAGGGGGCGCCAAAGACAACCCTAAAATCCACATATTTAAAAGTCTTATAACTTTTTATTTTTGTCCTCACTGGCCTCCAAGTTTTCTAGGATGATGCAATGTCCAGCCATCAACACATTTGTGAAGGAATCTTTACTCCCCAAAAGAGCGCCCCCCCATGGCAGGAGAAAAAAGTCCATTTTTTCTTGTCCCCTAAGGTGAAAATACATATTGTTGAGATTCACGCCTATACGCTTTGTCATATTGACACAAAATTTGACAATCACGTGCCTTGCCTGGTATCATTTTTTTTCAGCACAACCTCACCTGTGCGAATTTACAGTTATTTTATCATGTTGACATACTGAATTTACACAATGGACCCAAATTCACACACAAAACATAAAATCCGAGTGGAAAAAAGTAACATTTTTACTGTGAAAACCACAAATATGTGTGATGAACTGTTTTTAAAACTTAAACTTCAAATAAAAATTGTAAACTTCAAAACATATACAAATTTTTAACAAAGAACATAGTGATTTACCTCTATTTACATCAAAATGCAGGCAATGGCCCAGGCGTTCTTTGTAAAATTATTTACAAAACACTGTATAGTCTCACAAATGTCACTTTTTATTTATGCCACTACAAAAAAACATGATGTAAATGATGCATGATGTAAAACATGATGTAAAAAACTTGTGTAGATCCTCCTCTATGTCAGTCCATGTGTAATTTTTCCATAATTCTTTGTTTTTTGCAGCATTTTTGTTAGTGTAACTGCAGATTGTGCTGACAGTGTCTATGGCACAAAAAAAAAAAAAAATTAAAATGCCTCAACATGAACCCCTGGTGGTCTCTGAGGGTGAAACCTGCTAACTGCTGCAGCTCTGTCAGCTTCAGTCTCCCATGCAGAGCTCTGAGCGCATGTGTGGCTCTGCACCCTTAGCAGCGTTGCTAACTCCTCAGTAAGGAAAGCCTGCTTCATGTCAGAGTCTCTAAACTCCAGAAGAAGTCGATAAAAGTCCCTTTCTTTCTAAAAAACAGTCGTTAGGGGGTCTGAAAAGTCATTGAATCTAACAACAAAGTCGCTAGGTTTGCAACTACGTGTCCCAGACTGCATCCCTGCTGAGAGTTCCTCCCTCCCTTCTCATGTTGCAGGAAGAACGTAAGCGCCCTCCCCTTGTCAATCAGTCACCATATAATTTTGGATTGGTTGTTGTGGTGAAGTTTTCCACCAATAGGAGAGATGTTGTGGTGTGTTTTTTTTTCTTTTGGCAAGCCTTTTCCGCCTGTAAGACCTGTCGCTAATGTCTGCATGCTATGTTTTCCTGTCTCATACAGCGCGATCGAGCGCCGAACGTGATCAAAATAAGCAGAAAAAAAGTATCGCGGACATAATTTATCATAACTCTGGTTTTATTTGGCCTATCAACACAATTTAAACACTGGTATATAGGTTGAGGTCCTCACTTTTGAGATAAGTTGAAACGGAGAGTCAACGAGGCTCCGTCTTGCAGCTACATCCGGTTAAATATGTCATGTGACTTGAACGCACACACAGACACACACACACGCACACACACACACACACACACACACACACACACACACACACACACACACTCAGAGTCTGGTTTTTAGCACCTGCAAAAACATGCTATTTACATATTTGACAAGAATGCAGAGGCTCCTTTTGCCCCTGAAAAAAAAATCAAATTTCAAACACAACTTGACTGGTCATTTCTCCAAAAGACAACCATGAAGCTCCATCCAAACCTGAAGCAGGCAGTTGGTGCATGTGTACAGTAACCTGAGGGGAGTGAGGTGAGTGCTTCTGAGGAGAACATGAGCAGTGAAGATTCACCTTGGAGCTAGAACAGAGACATGCACATGATTATACAGGGGCAGGGGCTCAAGTTTTTTCCAGTCGTTTATACAATATGGAAATTAATGTGAAATTAAAACACAAAGTATTAATAGAAAGGTAATGACTGTCCTGTGTAGGTGACAGTGATATCGAATAGGCTAGGCACTCACAAGGCTGGCTGTGGCAAGTGTAAGTGAAAGCAACACGCACTGGCAGGAAGAACAGCAAACGCCGATGAAGGAAAAGGGTCTTTGCAGTGATGGGCGTTACAAGAGAGGGCGATGGCCAGAGGACACAAATGGGACGGGGAGGCAGCAAGTTGGGGGGGGGGGGGGCGACACGGCTCGGGCCCGCCAGTGCCCCAACGGGGTCCTAGTTAGGGCCCGAGCGTAGCTGCTAAGCAGCTGCGAGAGCCCTATTATTCCTGATGGATTCTTCTTTCTTTAGGGCCCGAGCGTAGCTGCTAAGCAGCTGCGAGAGCCCTATTATTCCTGATGGATTCTTCTTTCTTCTTCTTCTTCTTCTTATTATTTTTCTGCCCCTTTGAACTGGAAAATGGCCCACTTCCCACTGGTGAAAAGTCATGAAATTTGGCAGGACGACCGGGCCTGGTGAAAAATTCGATATTCTGAAGTCGCCCAAAAAATCAAATGCAAAATGGCTCCATAGCGCCCCCTAAGGTGAAAAATTCACATGATTGAGTGTCACGCCTGTACGCTTTGTCAAAATGACACAAAATTTGACACACACGTGTATCTCAATAAGATCTACAAAAAAGTCAGTGCGGGCGTATCTGTCAAATGTACGGTTAAAGGTTTATTTCGCATTTTTTGCCGATCCGCACACATTGGAATTTCGCTAACTCCTCCGAAGGTTTTCCTTCCACCGGCACCACATTTGCTCAGGCCAATCTACACCCCATGGCCAATAAAAGTTGTACAAATCATGACGCTGCACCCCACGGTTTACGTTCTAGGGGGCGCCAAAGATAACCCAAAAATCCACAGTCTTAAAAGTCTTATAACTTTTTATTTTTGTCCTCACTGGCCTCCAAGTTCTCTAGGATGATGCAATGTCCAGCCATCAACACATTTGTGAAGGAATTTTTACTCGCCAAAAGAGCGCCCCCCCATGGCAGGAGAAAAATGTCCATTTTTTCTTGTCTCCTAAGGCGAAAATACACATCGTTGACTGTCACGCCTTTACGCTTTGTCAAAATGACACAAAATTTGACACACACATGTATCTCAATAAGATCTACAAAAAAGTCAGTGCGGACGTATCTGTCACATGTACGGTTAAAGGGTTATTTCGCATTTTTTGCCGATCCGCACACATTGGAATTTCGCTAACTCCTCTGAAGGCTTTCGTTCCAACGGCACCACATTTGCTCAGGCCAATCTACACCCCATGGCCATTAAAAGTTGTACAAATCATGACACTGCACCCCACGGTTTACGTTCTAGGGGGCGCCAAAGATAACCCAAAAATCCACAGTCTTAAAAGTCTTATAACTTTTTATTTTTGTCCTCACTGGCCTCCAAGTTCTCTAGGATGATGCAATGTCCAGCCATCAACACATTTGTGAAGGAATTTTTACTCGCCAAAAGAGCGCCCCCCATGGCAGGAGAAAAAAGTCCATTTTTTCTTGTCTCCTAAGGCGAAAATACACATTGTTGATTGTCACGCCTTTACGCTTTGTCAAAATGACACAAAATTTGACACACACATGTATCTCAATAAGATCTACGAAAAAGTCAATGCGAGCGTATCTGTTCAATGTACGGTTAAAGGGCTATTTTGCATTTTTTGCCGATTCGCACACATTGGAATGTGGCTAACTCCTCCTAAAGCTTTTGTCCCATCGGCTTCAAATTTGCTCAGGTCAATCTACACCCCATGGCCATTCAAAGTTGTACAAATCATGACGCTGCACCCCACGGTTTACGTTCTAGGGGGTGCCAAAGAGGACCCAAATATCCACATTTTTAAAAGTCTTATAACTTTTTATTTTTGTCCTCACTGGCCTCCAAGTTTTCTAGGATGATGCAATGTCCAGCCATCAACACATTTGTGAAGGAATTTTTTCTCCCCAAAAGAGCGCCCCCCATGGCAGGAGAAAAAGTCAAGTTTTTCCTGCCCATCGCTCAATGGCTCAAAAGCATCGCTCTCTCGGCAAAACCGAAAGGAGGAGCAACTTGCCATTTGGATATATACTAGCTGTGTTTGTGCCCTCACTCATGGTCCAGACTTTTTTCAAAAAGGACATGGAGTTTGTCTGCAGCGAGCGTTTTGGTAGAAACTGCGCCTCCCATTCATTATAATGGTAAATGACCACAGACAAGTGCGCACACCATCTTTGGACCTTGAGTGTGACGCGATCAAGAGGGGTAGGCGGTCGCGCTGGGGGCGGCGCGACATGGCTCGGGCCCGCCAGTGCCCCAACGGGGCCCTAGTCTTCTTCTTCTTATTATTTTTCTGCCCCTTTGAACTGGAAAATGGCCCACTTCCCACTGGTGAAAAGTCATGAAATTTGGCAGGACGACCGGGCCTGGTGAAAAATTCGATATTCTGAAGTCGCCCAAAAAATCAAATGCAAAATGGCTCCATAGCGCCCCCTAAGGTGAAAAATTCACATGATTGAGTGTCACGCCTGTACGCTTTGTCAAAATGACACAAAATTTGACACACACGTGTATCTCAATAAGATCTACAAAAAAGTCAGTGCGGGCGTATCTGTCAAATGTACGGTTAAAGGGCTATTTCGCATTTTTTGCCGATCCGCACACATTGGAATTTCGCTAACTCCTCCGAAGGCTTTCGTTCCACCGTCACCAAATTTGCTCAGGCCAATCTACACCCCATGGCCATTAAAAGTTGTACAAATCATGACGCTGCATCCCACGGTTTACGTTCTAGGGGGCGCCAAAGATAACCCAGAAATCCACATTCTTAAAAGTCGTATAACTTTTTATTTTTGTCCTCACTGGCCTCCAAGTTTTCTAGGATGATGCAATGTCCAGCCATCAACACATTTGTGAAGGAATTTTTACTCCCCAAAAGAGCGCCCCCCATGGCAGGAGAAAAAAGTCCATTTTTTCTTGTCTCCTAAGGCGAAAATTCACACTATTGACTGTCACGCCTTTACGCTTTGTCATATTGACACAAAAATTGACACACACATGTATCTCAATAAGATCTACAAAAAAGTCAGTGCGGGCGTATCTGTCAAATGTACGGTGAAAGGGCTATTTCGCATTTTTTGCCGATCCGCACACATTGGAATTTCGCTAACTCCTCCGAAGGCTTTCGTTCCAAAGGCACCACATTTGCTGAGGCCAATCTACACCCCATGGCCATTAAAAGTTGTACAAATCATGACGCTGCACCCCACGGTTTACGTTCTAGGGGGCGCCAAAGATAACCCAAAAATCCACAGTCTTAAAAGTCTTATAACTTTTTATTTTTGTCCTCACTGGCCTCCAAGTTCTCTAGGATGATGCAATGTCCAGCCATCAACACATTTGTGAAGGAATTTTTACTCGCCAAAAGAGCGCCCCCCCATGGCAGGAGAAAAAAGTCCATTTTTTCTTGTCTCCTAAGGCGAAAATACACATTGTTGACTGTCACGCCTTTACGCTTTGTCAAAATGACACAAAATTTGACACACACATGTATCTCAATAAGATCTACAAAAAAGTCAGTGCGGGCGTATCTGTCAAATGTACGGTTAAAGGGTTATTTCGCATTTTTTGCCGATCCGCACACATTGGAATTTCGCTAACTCCTCCTAAATCTTTTGTCCCATCGGCTTCAAATTTGCTCAGGTCAATCTACACCCCATGGCCATTCAAAGTTGTACAAATCATGACGCTGCACCCCACAGTTTACGTTCTAGGGGGCGCCAAAGAGGACCCAAATATCCACATTTTTAAAAGTCTTATAACTTTTTATTTTTGTCCTCACTGGCCTCCAAGTTTTCTAGGATGATGCAATGTCCAGCCATCAACACATTTGTGAAGGAATTTTTCTCCCCAAAAGAGCGCCCCCCCATGGCAGGAGAAAAAGTCAAGTTTTTCCTGCCCATCGCTCAATGGCTCAAACGCATCGCTCTCTCTGCAAAACCGAAAGGAGGAGCAACTTGCCATTTGGATATATACTAGCTGTGTTTGTGCCCTCACTCATGGTCCAGACTTTTTTCAAATAGGACATGTAGTTTGTCTGCAGCGAGCGTTTTGGTAGAAACTGCGCCTCCCATTCATTATAATGGGAAATGACCACAGACAAGTGCGCACACCATCTTTGGACCTTGAGTGTGACGCGATCGGGAGGGGGAGGCGGTCGCGCTGGGGGCGGCGCGACGCGGCTCGGGCCCGACAGTGCCCCACCGGGGCCCTAGTCTTATTTTTCCTCCTCTTTGAAGGGGAAAATGGCCCACTTCCCACTGGCGAAAACTCATGAAATTTGGCAGGACGACCAGGCCTGGTGAAAAATTCGATATTTTGAAGTCGCCCAAATAATAAAATGCAAAATGGCTCCATAGCGCCCCCTAAGGTGAAAATTCACACTATTGACTGTCACGCCTGTACGCTTTGTCATATTGACACAAAAATTGACAAACACATGTATCTCAATAAGATCTACAAAAAAGTCAGTGCGGGAATATCTGTCAAATTTACGGTTAAAGGGTTATTTCACATTTTTTGCAGATCCGCACACATTGGAATTTCGCTAACTCCTCCGAAGGCTTTCGTTCCACTGGCACCACATTTGCTCAGGCCAATCTACACTCCATGGCCATTAAAAGTATTACAAATCATGACGCTGCACCCCACGGTTAAGGTTCTAGATGGCGCCAAATATAACCCAAAAATCCACAGCCTTAAAAGTCTTATAACTTTTTTTTTTTTTCCTCACTGGCCTCCAAGTTTTCTAGGATTATGCAATGTCCAGCCATCAACACATTTGTGAAGGAATTTTTACTCCCCAAAAGAGCGCCCCCCCATGGCAGGAGAAAAAAGTCAATTTTTTCTTGTCCCCTAAGGTGAAAATACACATTGTTGAGTGTAACACCTGTACGCTTTGGCAAAATGACACAAAAATTGACACACACATGTATCTCAATAAGATCTACGAAAAAGTCAATGCGCGCGTATCTGTCAAATGTACGGTTAAAGGGTTATTCTGCATTTTTTGCCGATCCGCACACATTGGAATTTCGCTAACTCCTCCGAAGGCTTTCGTTCCACCGGCACCACATTTGCTCAGGCCAATCTACACCCCATGGCCATTAAAAGTTATTCAAATCATGACGCTGCATCCCACGGTTTAGGTTCTAGGGGGCGCCAAAGATAACCCTAAAATCCACATATTTAAAAGTCTTATAACTTTTTATTTTTGTCCTCACTGGCCTCCAAGTTTTCTAGGATGATGCAATGTCCAGCCATCAACACATTTGTGAAGGAATTTTTACTCCCCAAAAGAGCGCCCCCCATGGCAGGAGAAAAAAGTCAATTTTTTCTTGTCCCCTAAGGTGGAAATTCACACTATTGACTGTCACGCCTGTACGCTTTATCATATTGACACAAAAATTGACACACCTATGTATCTCAATAAGATCTACAAAAAAGTCAATTCGCGCGTATCTGTCAAATGTACGGTTTAAGGGCTATTTTGCATTTCTTGCCGATTCGCACACATTGGAATGTGGCTAACTCCTCCTAAGGCTTTCGTCCCTCTGACACCAAATTTGCTCAGGCCAATCTACACCCCATGGCCATTCAAAGTTGTAAAAATCATGACGCTGCACCCCACGGTTTACGTTCTAGGGGGCGCCAAAAATGACCCAAAAATCCACATTCTTAAAAGAATCCACATCCCCCCTATGGCAGGAGAAAAAGTCAAGTTTTTCCTGCCCATCGCTCAATGGCTCAATCGCATCGCTCTCCAGGCAACACCGTAAGGAGGAGCAACCTGGCATTTCGATATATCATAGCTGTGTTTGTGCCCTCACTCATGGTCCAGACTTTTTTCAAATAGGACATGAAGTTTGTCTGCAGCGAGTGTTTTGGTAGAAACTGCGCCTCCCATTCATTATAATGGGAAATGACCACAGACAAGTGCGCACACCATCTTTGGTTCTTGAGTGTGACTCGATCGGGACGGGGAGGCGGTCGCACTGGGGGCGGCGCGACGCGGCTCGGGCCCGACAGTGCCCCACCGGGGCCCTAGTTTGTTATTATTATTATTTTTCCTCCCCTTTGAACTGGAAAATGGCCCACTTCCCACTGGCGAAAACTCATGAAATTTGGCAAGACGACCGGGCCTGGTGAAAAATTTGATATTCCGAAGTCGCCCAAACAAGAAAATGCAAAATGGCTCCATAGCGCCCCCTAAGGTGAAAATTCACACTATTGACTGTCACGCCTGTACGCTTTGTCAAAATGACACAAAAATTGACACACACATGTATCTCAATAAGATCTACAAAAAAGTCAGTGCGGGCGTATATGTCAAATGTACGGTTAAAGGGTTATTTCGCATTTTTTGCCGATCCGCACACATTGGAATTTCGCTAACTCCTCCGAAGGCTTTCGTTCCACCGGCACCACATTTGCTCAGGCCAAATTACACCCCATGGCCATTAAAAGTTATTCAAATCATGACGCTGCACCCCACGGTTTACGTTCTAGGGGGCGCCAAAGATAACCCAAAAATCCACATTTTAAAAAGTCTTATAACTTTTTATTTTTGTCCTCACTGGCCTCCAAGTTTTCTAGGATGATGCAATGTCCAGCCATCAACACATTTGTGAAGGAATTTTTACTCCCCAAAAGAGCGCCCCCCATGGCAGGAGAAAAAGTCAAGTTTTTCCAGCCCATCGCTTAATGGCTCAAACGCATTGCTCTCCCGCTAAAACCAAAAGGAGGAGCAACTTGCCATTTGGATATGTCCTAGCTGTGTTTGTGCCCTCACTCATGGTCCAGAGTTTTTTCAAATAGGACATGTAGTTTGTCTGCAGCGAGCGTTTTGGTAGAAACTGTGCCTCCCATTCATTATAATGGGAAATGACCAAAGACAGGTGCGCACACCATCTTTGGACCTTGACTTTGACGTCACAGTTTGAGATACAAATGTTATTTGACCTCTGACCTTTGGTGGACACCCTAACCTTTCAACCCGCGAAAACGGCGTTTCAATAGCTCTTACGGCTTTCCTACAAATACACTTTGTTCAGCTACTCCTACTGTCCTTCAAGCTCTGCTTCTCAGATCATCAAAGAGTGTGCACGTGTGTAATGAGCGCATATTGAATGTTAATTATGTTAAATATGTTAATTATTAGAAGAAAAAACAACAACAGTCCTTTTGGACAAAATTTCTTTTTATTACAGAATTAGAATAATGGAAGCATAGTCCAAGGAAACCATTCAAGTGATGTCATACCTCATAATTTATTGAGATGTTGGCTAGTCTGGGCATTTCTTCATTCATCAGGTTTCCTGCATGCATACTAACAGAGCACATCAGTAGCAGTGAGTGATAAGTATGAGTGTGTCATTGTGTAAGAAAGAAAGTGGTTTACTTACACATCCATAGAAAATAGGTGGTTGAGCACAGCACGCAAACAAAGCTTTGCCACAACGGTTGAACTTCCCAAGTAGCTGATACCAAGGTCACACAATCAGGGTGAGCAAAGGTCAAACCAGGCCAGGCACTCACGAGGCTGGCTGTGGCAAGTGTAAGTGAAAGCAACACGCAATGGCAGGAAGAACAGCAAACACCAATGAAGGAAAAGGGTCTTTGCAGTGATGGGCGTCACCAGAGAGGGCGATGGCCAGAGGGCACGAATGGGACGGGGAGGCGGTCGCGCTGGGGGCGGCGCGACGCGGCTCGGGCCCGCCAGTGCCCCAACGGGGCCCTAGTTTCTTCTTCTTCTTATTATTATTTTTCTGCCCCTTTGAACTGGAAAATGGCCCACTTCCCACTGGTGAAAAGTCATGAAATTTGGCAGGACGACCGGGCCTGGTGAAAAATTCGATATTCTGAAGTCGCCCAAAAAATCAAATGCAAAATGGCTCCATAGCGCCCCCTAAGGTGAAAAATTCACATGATTGAGTGTCACGCCTGTACGCTTTGTCAAAATGACACAAAATTTGACACACACGTGTATCTCAATAAGATCTACAAAAAAGTCAGTGCGGGCGTATCTGTCAAATGTACGGTTAAAGGGCTATTTCGCATTTTTTGCCGATCCGCACACATTGGAATTTCGCTAACTCCTCCGAAGGCTTTCGTTCCACCGGCACCAAATTTGCTCAGGCCAATCTACACCCCATGGCCATTAAAAGTTGTACAAATCATGACGCTGCATCCCACGGTTTACGTTCTAGGGGGCGCCAAAGATAACCCAGAAATCCACATTCTTAAAAGTCGTATAACTTTTTATTTTTGTCCTCACTGGCCTCCAAGTTTTCTAGGATGATGCAATGTCCAGCCATCAACACATTTGTGAAGGAATTTTTACTCCCCAAAAGAGCGCCCCCCCATGGCAGGAGAAAAAAGTCCATTTTTTCTTGTCTCCTAAGGCGAAAATTCACACTATTGACTGTCACGCCTTTACGCTTTGTCATATTGACACAAAAATTGACACACACATGTATCTCAATAAGATCTACAAAAAAGTCAGTGCGGGCGTATCTGTCAAATGTACGGTGAAGGGCTATTTCGCATTTTTTGCTGATCCGCACACATTGGAATTTCGCTAACTCCTCCGAAGGCTTTCGTTCCAAAGGCACCACATTTGCTGAGGCCAATCTACACCCCATGGCCATTAAAAGTTGTACAAATCATGACGCTGCACCCCACGGTTTACGTTCTAGGGGGCGCCAAAGATAACCCAAAAATCCACAGTCTTAAAAGTCTTATAACTTTTTATTTTTGTCCTCACTGGCCTCCAAGTTCTCTAGGATGATGCAATGTCCAGCCATCAACACATTTGTGAAGGAATTTTTACTCGCCAAAAGAGCGCCCCCCCATGGCAGGAGAAAAAAGTCCATTTTTTCTTGTCTCCTAAGGCGAAAATACACATTGTTGACTGTCACGCCTTTACGCTTTGTCAAAATGACACAAAATTTGACACACACATGTATCTCAATAAGATCTACAAAAAAGTCAGTGCGGGCGTATCTGTCAAATGTACGGTTAAAGGGTTATTTCGCATTTTTTGCCGATCCGCACACATTGGAATTTCGCTAACTCCTCCTAAATCTTTTGTCCCATCGGCTTCAAATTTGCTCAGGTCAATCTACACCCCATGGCCATTCAAAGTTGTACAAATCATGACGCTGCACCCCACAGTTTACGTTCTAGGGGGCGCCAAAGAGGACCCAAATATCCACATTTTTAAAAGTCTTATAACTTTTTATTTTTGTCCTCACTGGCCTCCAAGTTTTCTAGGATGATGCAATGTCCAGCCATCAACACATTTGTGAAGGAATTTTTCTCCCCAAAAGAGCGCCCCCCATGGCAGGAGAAAAAGTCAAGTTTTTCCTGCCCATCGCTCAATGGCTCAAACGCATCGCTCTCTCTGCAAAACCGAAAGGAGGAGCAACTTGCCATTTGGATATATACTAGCTGTGTTTGTGCCCTCACTCATGGTCCAGACTTTTTTCAAATAGGACATGTAGTTTGTCTGCAGCGAGCGTTTTGGTAGAAACTGCGCCTCCCATTCATTATAATGGGAAATGACCACAGACAAGTGCGCACACCATCTTTGGACCTTGAGTGTGACGCGATCGGGAGGGGGAGGCAGTCGCGCTGGGGGCGGCGCGACGCGGCTCGGGCCCGACAGTGCCCCACCGGGGCCCTAGTTAGGGCCCGAGCGTAGCTGCTAAGCAGCTGCGAGAGCCCTCTTGTTCCTGCATGTTTCCTTCTTTCGTTATTATTTTTCCTCCGCTTTAAACTGGAAAATGGCCCACTTCCCACTGGCGAAAACTCAGGAAATTTGGCAGGACGACCGGGCCTGGTGAAAAATTCGATATTCTGAAGTCGCCCAAACAATAAATTGCAAAATGGCTCCATAGCGCCCCCTAAGGTGAAAATTCACATGACGGCTGTACGCTTTGTCATATTGACACAAAAATTGACACACACATGTATCTCAATAAGATCTACAAAAAAGTCAGTGCGGGCGTATCTGTCAAATGTACGGTTAAAGGGTTATTTCGCATTTTTTGCCGATCCGCACACATTGGAATTTCGCTAACTCCTCCGAAGGCTTTCGTTCGACCGGCACCACATTTGCGCAGGCCAATCTACCCCCCATGGCCATTAAAAGTTGTACAAATCATGACGCTGCACCCCACGGTTTACGTTCTAGGGGGCGCCAAAGATAACCCAAAAATCCACATTCTTAAAAGTCTTATAACTTTTTACTTTTGTCCTCACTGGCCTCCAAGTTTTCTAGGATGATGCAATGTCCAGCCATCAACACATTTGTGAAGGAATTTTTACTCCCCAAAAGAGCGCCCCCCAATGGCAGGAGAAAAAGGTCCATTTTTTCTTGTCTCCGAAGGTGAAAATACACATTGTCGAGTGTCACGCCTGTATGCTTTGTCATAGTGACACAAAATTTAACAATCACGTGTATCTCAATAAGATCTACGAAAAAGTCAATGCGCACGTATCTGTAAAATGTACGGCTAAAGGGCTATTTTGCATTTTTTGCCGATTCGCACACATTGGAATGTGGCTAACTCCTCCTAAGGCTTTCGTCCCACTGACACCAAATTTGCTCAGGCCAATCTACACCCCATGGCCATTCAAAGTTGTAAAAATCATGCCGCTGCACCCCATGGTTTACGTTCTAGGGGGCGCCAAAGATGACCCAAATATCCACATTCTTAAAAGTCGTTTTGGCCACTGCAGGAGTACAGAGTACTGCAGGATACACACACACACACAGACACACACACACACACACACAGACACACACACACACGCACACACACACACACACACACACACACACACACACACACACACACACACACACACTCAGAGTCTGTTTTTTAGCATCTGCAAAAACATGCTATTTACATATTTGACAACAATGCAGAGGCTTCCTTTTGCCCCTGAAAAAAATGAAATTTCAAACACAACTTGACTGCTCATTTCTCCAAAAGACAACCATGAAGCTCCATCCAAACCTGTAGCAGGCAGTTGGTGCATGTGTACAGTAACCTGAGTGAGGTGACTGCTTCTGAGGAGAACATGAGCAGTGAAGATTCACCTTGGAGCTAGAACAGAGACATGCACATGATTATACAGGGGCAGGGGCTCAAGTTTTTTCCAGTCGTTTAGACAATATGGAAATTAATGTGAAATTAAAAAACAAAGTATTAATAGAAAGGTAATGACTGTCCTGTGTAGGTGACAGTGATATCCAATAGGCTAGGCACTCACGAGGCTGGCTGTGGCAAGTGCAAGTGAAAGCAACACACACTGGCAGGAAGAACAGCAAACGCCGATGAAGGAAAAGGGTCTTTGCAGTGATGGGCGTTACCAGAGAGGGCGATGGCCAGAGGACGCGAATGGGACGGGGAGGCAGCGCGTTGGGGGGGCGGGGGGGGGGGGCCCGCCAGTGCCCCAACGGGGCCCTAGTTAGGGCCCGAGCGTAGCTGCTAAGCAGCTGCGAGAGCCCTCTTGTTCCTGTAGTTTCCTTCTTTTGTTATTATTATTTTTCCTCCCCTTTGAACTGGAAAATGGCCCACTTCCCACTGGCGAAAACTCATGAAATTTGGCAGGATGACCGGGCCTGGTGAAAAATTTGATATTCCGAAGTCGCCCAAACAAGAAAATGCAAAATGGCTCCATAGCGCCCCCTAAGGTGAAAATTCACACTATTGACTGTCACGCCTTCACGCTTTGTCATATTGACACAAAAATTGACACACACATGTATCTCAATAAGATCTACAAAAAAGTCAGTGTGGGCGTATCTGTCAAATGTACGGTTAAAGGGTTATTGCGCATTTTTTGCCGACCCGCACACATTGGAATTTCGCTAACTCCTCCGAAGGCTTTCGTTCCACCGGCACCACATTTGCTCAGGCCAATCTACACCCATTGGCCATTAAAAGTTATTCAAATCATGACGCTGCACCCCACGGTTTAGGTTCTAGGGGGCGCCAAAGATAACCCTAAAATCCACATATTTAAAAGTCTTATAACTTTTTATTTTTGACCTCACTGGCCTCCAAGTTTTCTAGGATGATGCAATGTCCAGCCATCAACACATTTGTGAAGGAATTTTTAATCCCCAAAAGAGCGCCCCCCCATGGCAGGAGAAAAAAGTCCATTTTTTCTTGTCCCCTAAGGTGAAAATACACATTGTTGAGTGTCACGCCTGTACGCTTTGTCATATTGACACAAAATTTGACACACACATGTATCTCAATAAGATCTACGAAAAAGTCAATGCGCGCGTATCTGTCAAATGCACGGTTAAAGGGTTATTCCGCATTTTTTGCTGATCCGCACACATTGGAATTTCGCTAACTCCTCCTAAGGCTGGCGTTCCACCGGCACCACATTTGCTCAGGCCAATCTACACCCCATGGTCATTAAAAGTTATTCAAATCATGACGCTGCACCCCACGGTTTAGGTTCTAGGGGGCGCCAAAGATAACCCTAAAATCCACATATTTCAAAGTCTTATAACTTTTTATTTTTGTCCTCACTGGCCTCCAAGTTTTCTAGGATGATGCAATGTCCAGCCATCAACACATTTGTGAAGGAATTTTTACTCCCCAAAAGAGCGCCCCCCCATGGCAGGAGAAAAAAGTCCATTTTTTCTTGTCCCATAAGGTGAAAAAACACATTGTTGACTGTCATACCTGTACGCTTTGTCATATTGACACAAAATTTGACAATCACATGTATCTCAATAAGATCTACGAAAAAGTCAATGCGCGCGTATCTGTAAAATGTACGGTTAAAGGGCTATTTTGCATTTTTTGCCGATTCGCACACATTGGAATGTGGCTAACTCCTCCTAAGGCTTTCGTCCCACTGACACCAAATTTGCTCAGGCCAATCTACACCCCATGGCCATTCAAAGTTGTAAAAATCATGACGCTGCACCCCACGGTTTACGTTCTAGGGGGCGCCAATAATGACCCAAATATCCACATTCTTAAAAGAATCCACATCCCCCCCCCCCCCCATCCCCCAACCCCCATGGCAGGAGAAACAGTCAAGTTTTTCCTGCCCATCACTCAATGGCTCAATCGCATCACTCTCCCGGCAACACCGTAACAAGGAGCAACTTGCCGTTTGGATATATCCTAGCTGTGTTTGTGCCCTCACTCATGGTCCAGACTTTTTTCAAATAGGACATGTAGTATGTCTGCAGCGAGTGTTTTGGTAGAAACTGCGCCTCCCATTCATTATAATGGGAAATGACCACAGACAAGTGCGCACACCATCTTTGGACCTTGAGTGTGACGCGATCGGGAGGGGGAGGCGGTCGCGCTGGGGGCGGCGCAACGCGGCTCGGGCCCGACAGTGCCCCACCGGGGCCCTAGTTGTTTCTTTCTTTCTTCTTTTTCCTCCCCTTTGAACTGGAAAATGGCCCACTTCCCACTGGCGAAAACTCATGAAATTTGGCAGGATGACCGGGCCTGGTGAAAAATTCGATATTCTGAAGTCGCCCAAACAATAAAATGCAAAATGGCTCCATAGCGCCCCCTAAGGTGAAAATTCACACTATTGACTGTCACGCCTTTACGCTTTGTCATATTGACACAAAAATTGACACACACATGTATCTCAATAAGATCTACAAAAAAGTCAGTGCGGGCGTATCTGTCAAATGTACGGTTAAAGGGTTATTCCGCATTTTTTGCCGATCCGCACACATTGGAATTTCGCTAACTCCTCCGAAGGCTTTCGTTCCACCGGCACCACATTTGCTCAGGCCAATCTACACCCCATGGCCATTAAAAGTTATTCAAATCATGACGCTGCACCCCACGGTTTAGGTTCTAGGGGGCGCCAAAGATAACCCTAAAATCCACATATTTCAAAGTCTTATAACTTTTTATTTTTGACCTCACTGGCCTCCAAGTTTTCTAGGATGATGCAATGTCCAGCCATCAACACATTTGTGAAGGAATTTTTAATCCCCAAAAGAGCGCCCCCCATGGCAGGAGAAAAAAGTCAATTTTTTCTTGTCCCCTAAGGTGAAAATACACATTGTTGAGTGTCACGCCTGTACGCTTTGTCATATTGACACAAAATTTGACACACACATGTATCTCAATAAGATCTACGAAAAAGTCAATGCGCGCGTATCTGTCAAATGTACGGTTAAAGGGTTATTCCGCATTTTTTGCTGATCCGCACACATTGGAATTTCGCTAACTCCTCCTAAGGCTGGCGTTCCACCGGCACCAAATTTGCTCAGGCCAATCTACACCCCATGGCCATTAAAAGTTATTCAAATCATGACGCTGCACCCCACGGTTTAGGTTCTAGGGGGCGCCAAAGATAACCCTAAAATCCACATATTTCAAAGTCTTATAACTTTTTATTTTTGTCCTCACTGGCCTCCAAGTTTTCTAGGATGATGCAATGTCCAGCCATCAACACATTTGTGAAGGAATTTTTACTCCCCAAAAGAGCGCCCCCCCATGGCAGGAGAAAAAAGTCAATTTTTTCTTGTCCCATAAGGTGAAAAAACACATTGTTGACTGTCATACCTGTACACTTTGTCATATTGACACAAAATTTGACAATCACATGTATCTCAATAAGATCTACGAAAAAGTCAACGCGCGCGTATCTGTAAAATGTACGGTTAAAGGGCTATTTTGCATTTTTTGCCGATTCGCACACATTGGAATGTGGCTAACTCCTCCTAAGGCTTTCGTCCCACTGACACCAAATTTGCTCAGGCCAATCTACACCCCATGGCCATTCAAAGTTGTAAAAATCATGACGCTGCACCCCACGGTTTACGTTCTAGGGGGCGCCAAAGATGACCCAAATATCCACATTCTTAAAAGAATCCACATCCCCCCCATCCCCCAACCCCCATGGCAGGAGAAACAGTCAAGTTTTTCCTGCCCATCACTCAATGGCTCAATCGCATCACTCTCCCGGCAACACCGTAACAAGGAGCAACTTGCCGTTTGGATATCTCCTAGCTGTGTTTGTGCCCTCACTCATGGTCCAGACTTTTTTCAAATAGGACATGTAGTTTGTCTGCAGCGAGTGTTTTGGTAGAAACTGCGCCTCCCATTCATTATAATGGGAAATGACCACAGACAAGTGCGCACACCATCTTTGGACCTTGAGTGTGACGCGATCGGGAGGGGGAGGCGGTCGCGCTGGGGGCGGCGCAACGCGGCTCGGGCCCGACAGTGCCCCACCGGGGCCCTAGTTTATTCTAGTTATCCTTGGTTTATTTTAGGTCTGTGTTTTATTCATATTTTAGTTTTTACTTGTTTTTATCCTTTTATCATTTTTTGGACCCCCAGTGTTTCCTCTGAGGGAGCCCTCGGCACTGGGAGTGGCGGTCGCATGTGGTTGCAGGGCCCGGCCACAAGGGTTCCTGGTGGAGGTTGCTGTCTGACACATCCCTCCACTGGCCCTGTGTCGGTGTCCTGTGGCTGTGGGTGGCTCTCTGCTCCTGGTGCTGACGGCTCCTCTGATGGCGCCTTCTCAACTGGTTCATCTGCACTCAGCCTCATGCCCATTCTCTTAATGTGTGTATGTGCGGGCGCGTTGGATTGTGTGTGTGTGTGTGTGTGTGTAGGTGGGGGGTGGGGATGGGGATGGGGGGTAAAGGGGCATCTTGGATAGTTTTTGTTTTTAACTTGTTAAGTACTTTGAGTCACATTCCTGTAGGAAAAGCACTTTATAAATAAAGTTTGATTTGATTTAACCCTAAATGAAAATTTTATAAGCCGAAATCCAAACCCTGAGCCCTAAATATAAGCCTTCAACACTGAGCCCTCAATCGAAACCTTAAACCTTAAATTTAAGCCCTATACTGTAAACCCTAAGCACTTAATCAAAACCCTAAGCTCTAAATATAGCTCCTAAACCCTATGTAAGTAAGTAAACTTTATTTATACAACGCCTTTCACAGACCACTTTAAAGTAAAAACAAAACAAACAAAAAAAACAATACACAGTTAATAAGTACATACAAAGCTAAAATTTAAAAGGCCAAAACAACACTATGGCAACCATAGCAGCCCCAAGACAGTTAGGCAAAAGCCTGAACAAATAGGAAAGTCCTTAGTTTCCTTTTGAAGGAGTCAATAGACTCCATCGAATGCAGAGCAGGCGGAAGATCGTTCCAGAGCTTGGGAGCAACAGCCTGGAAGGATCGGTCTCCTCTGGTCCGGAAGCCCTGAGCCCTTATTCAAACCCTTATTCCTTAGAGTCTAGGGCTTATATTAAGGGCTTAGGGTTTCGACCTAGGGCTTTTGGCCATAGCATTTACTGACAATGCCAAGTGACTTCTGAAGAAGACTATATGAAGTTTGTAATCCAAAGTGTACAGGTGAAGAGGAAACACACAAACATTTAAAAGAAAAGCTTAACTTTAACAGACCAAACGAACCTTATTGGGCATAGCTGTTATTTTTTGACATGTATTTAATCAAGGCATTATTTGTGCAAGTGTAAATAATTCACTGTTATTCCTGAATAAACAAGGGAAGGTTTTGAAAAAATAAAATTCTGATCTTTTTTCTGGATTAACGAGCTGTGGTGCTTTAGTTGCACTCATTGGGGATCTCTCTAGGATCTAAAGAATTTGGCCCATCACCTTACAAGTCACCATTTTGCTCACCTAAATGTGTTTCAGATGCATCATCTCAAATCCATAAAGCATGTGCATCAGCTCAGCTGTTCCTGGAGAAACAGGGAAACATCCTGCAGATCAGAATCTGCTTTGAGCTCTGCAGTCTCCACCAATGCAACTAAAATAATAGTAATAGTACTAATAATACTAATGATAAAACCCAAGATCATGATTCTGTCAAATGGAGGAAGATGATTCCTGAAGTGAGTGCTACACGCTTCTATAAATACTGGACTCTTATGACATTGTTTCTTCTTTCAAGTGATGTTGAACCAAATCAGTTTGTGATTTTGACCTGATATTTTCATGCAGTTTTACTCTTTATGCCACTCTGATTCACCGTGGAAAAACTCTTTGACCAGTGTGCTACATAAAGGTAACACACTCACCAACACACATGCACACCTGCAGCCTCCATGCTTCCCCCTATAGGTTATTTCATGTTAAAAATCAATAACACTTGAATCCCTCACATCTTCACAGAGAGCTGTGCAGTGTGTGTGTGTGTGTGTGTTTGTTTGTGAGTGTTTCTCATTTTGCCTTCATAAACTCTCTGCCATCCTCACCAGATGGACAGAAAAACATGTTTGTAGAGACAAGGCAGAAGTGACTCATCGGCTTAAAAAAAGGTGAAGTAATAACATAAATAAATAAATAATTAAATAGAACAATTAAATGAATAAATCCTCCCACACTACTGCAAAAAAAAATTGAAATAGAAATTTTAGTGTGGGATAAAAACACAAAATTGTGACGCTTTGTTTAACTACAGGTTAAAAGGGGTTAAAACAGGGGGTCAATTTTACTGGAGCATGTTTTTATTACCACATGTTGTACACCAGACACATGAAAAACGATGAGTACAGCACAATTTTATTGTTTTTTTGTTGTTGTTTTTTTGTTTTACATTTTTTTCTGAGCTAATGTAGTCCTGGTTCATCTAGTTGCAAATATGCACTCAGACTGTGTGCTGGTGAACTAGCAAAATAGAATCTGGATCACTTTGCACCATGCATTGAAGACTTTGTGCATTAGGTTGAGGTCTTGAGCTTGAGGCCTGACCCTTCCCTGCAGCCCCCTCTTTGATGACTATCCTTGGTGTGTTAGGGCGGTCTGTGTTGTCCTCATTTAAATCAAAATTCTGGCTT